TGCTATGGGGAAAAAATTGTCACTTATAACAAAGCCACATTTTTTTCTGTATTTAATTAATCTAAAAACTGAAAAAAACCTCAAAACAAACACTCCCCACCCTCTCCGTGTTTAGGTATGCAAGAATCCAGAGTTCTTATGTCACTGAGTTCTCCACAGAGTTACTGTTTTCCTGTCCTAATGTCACTTTCTGCCACCATTAGGCAAACTCTCGTCTCAGTGGAGCTGTTCAGCAGGGAGGTTTTGGTTGGTTGGTTGGTTTTTTGTTTGTTTTGGTGGTTATTTTAGAGATGGTACCCCTGTGGCATTGATGTCACAGTTCTGAAATTAAAATTATCCATTACCATCCATGACCACTTTGATTTGAATGGTACACACAGACACACACTACTGAGCTGTACATAGTGCACATCCACAGGAGGACAATTACCACTTTAGGCAGCTTAAAAACTAAACTAGACCCACACTTAGAAAAGCACAGAGAAAAATAATGGCTTAGCCTATGCCTAAATCAGTCCCAATATCATATGGTTTCTTAGATCAGATATGCTAGATTTATCTGTAATCTGTGTTAGATTTATCTGTAAATTGAGTATTATGCAACTGTTGCAGGTTTTACTTGGTTAGATGTATTTTATTATTTAACAACAACAAGAAAAATGTTTAAAACCTCTTCAATTCGAGAAATTATTCTCACACAAGACAACTCTTCCTCCCTCCACAGCTCCAAAATACTATGATGAGGTAGGCACAAGAGAAGGCTATTTTCTCACCCAAAGATTGCTTCACAGATTCTTCAGGGTGTCTCTCTTAGCCAAGAGTATTTGCTCCCAGCTATCATTGCACCTGTCTCATCACTGGTGTTTGAGCAACAGATGCAATGTTGCAATTACTCTCTTCAAATGTAATCAGGGCAGGTTTCTCTCAGGCATCCTCCAGTGTTGTACCTGTACACACACATCGAAACACGAACATTAAAGCAGAAATGTTGAAGTCTCAGCAGGGGAATTCAGAAGCCTGCCCCTGTTCATCCTGTAGCCAAAATCTGAAAGACTTTAACAAACATGGTTGAAAAAGAAGCAGATGGCCTTTACCTATCTGTCTCTGCACACACAGAGATTGTACATGGCCCCACACGGGAATTATGCATTTCCTTTAAAAGGAGGTCCAAGAAGTAAAATACCCTAAGTGCATTATGGAATATTCAAGTTTTGAAGCACTATTTCCTTTAGAGTTTGCCTATGACAATTGCACAGTCAGAGATCATCTGCTTATACTTTACGGCTTAAAGAAATCCAGGCACTCCTTGATAATGAATAAAATAGAGATAATGCTACACAAAGAATGCTGTTCAAATACAGGTGGAAAAGACTCCTTTATTTTGACTTTCTTTCATCTCTTCTACCCTCCACAATAGGGATTGTCTTCAAAATGAAAGATGTCTTCCTGCAACTGCTTAAATCTAGTCTTTGGCAGAAGTGCCTCTCTCAGGTAAGACTACACTTAAAATTTAAGCCATGTGAATACTTGAGACACCCTGACAGGTGAATTTCAATAATCACTTCTCTTCTGTGAGTATTATCCACTTCAGTAAGAGGGCCTCGACCCTCTGTTTGTGGCTTCTGCCTGCAGTTGCCAGAGAGCATACAAATACATACGGATAGCAGCCAAGGAGGTACCTGAGAGCACTGTTTCAGATAACTTCACATATCCGGAAATGTTTCTTCTGCTCCAGCCTGGGAGTCACTCAGAATCCTTAGCCCTCATTATGAGCTTGAGTAAGACACCACCTGCTTTGAAGACTGTGATAGTTACAGTAGGTTCAAAATATAAATGGACAGAGAAGACTCCAAACCTACCTGAAAAAGTTGTAATTGCTCTATATTTGTCAACAGGGAAATGCAAGGTGTTAAAACATCTGATAAATTTCCCTGGGTGCATCCAATTAACTTCTGAATTGACACCAAAATAACTGCAAGTTAGTTCTCCCTCTAATACTCTTGTGGGGGGTGGTGGAATTTGAATGTTACTTTCATTTGAATCTCTGCATTGTTTGTACTTTAAAGGAATAGTAATGGTGCTGTAGAATTCTTTATTAGTATTCTAGAATGAGCAAGTAACATATTGCACTCAGAATATTGGGTTGAAATTCACACTGTAAGTCAAAAGTTTCAAACTTCAGAAGAGTGTAAGAAGGGTTCTTTTCCTTATCAACCCAGGGATCTGTGGCAGTTCCTGTTCTCCAGGCAACGAGGAGGAAACAGCATGTTGCTGTCTGCAGAAACCTTCAGAAAGTCAGTGCATGCTGCTAATGCAGACTGGGACGTGACACAGCAAGTATAAGCACCTGCACACACAAACAGCCTCTTCAGATATGTAAGCTTATAATTTATTTGGCAGAGAAGAAATTAAAAGTGTACCAAAGCTGCAAAATGAAACAATTATTTCTTAAAATAGGCAGCTGAAACAGGAATTAATTGATGGCCAGGTCAATGAAGAGTATCCTTCAATTGCTTGGATCCCTGCAAAGTGAAATGAAGAGTGTGCTGTAATGCACATCACATAGACAATGCAAAAATCATGAAAGTGCAGGAGAGATCTGTTGCTTTAACAATTCATTTCATTCTTCATACAACAGTGAGCAGAAACAAAAATGTTCACAGCTGCCCTTTCTTCCTGTCTAGGTCTAGAACACAAGAAAAACTTCCAAAGTATAAAAGGGAATCTTCTCTTGTTCTCTTATCTTTTAAGGAGATAAATAGTGGCATTCATTAAAGCAGCATGAATCACTTTCCTTAGTACAGGCACTGAGCAAACAGAAACATCCGTCATTTTCCAGCTACTTATTTTCCCATAATGACACAAATGTTTAACTTGACAGGTAGGGCCATTATTACGGAGAAAGGGAAGAACAGTATGGTTATTGTAGCTGAATAATTATGTACCACTACACCTACAAGTTGAAACAAAGTTGACGTAAAAGCGAAGGAGCACAAACGGAGTTCAAGCAAACAGTGATGGTTTTTCACCGATAAAGATGAAAGATGCAGATTTTGTAAAGTAAACATGCAAAGTATCCTGTAGCTTCCAGTAAGTGATTTTCACCCCAGTTTAATCAACACATGATTTCACACAGATCCTAATTTTCTGTGTTTCTTGGACATGTTTCTACACATCTCTAGCAGGCTACCATGAACATCCTCCTGCTTCACTCAAGCATGACTACACAGAAAGAAATCCCAAGTTTAAAGTTCAAAACTTATGCTTAACTAAAGAACATGCTGAAAGATACATCCATAATAGATTAAACAGGGAAAAAACTGATAAGCTGAAAGTAACTGCTATACTGATTTAGAGGAATCTGCTTTCTGTGTCTTCAACAATTTAGGGACAAACAGAATAGAACATCACTGCATATGAGTCAGCAGTGTGCCCTGGCAGCCAAAAGAGCCAACTGTGTCCTGAGGTGCAGGATACAGCATCAAGCGGGAATTACAGAAATTTCATATTATAAGGAGTAGATTGCAGAAAAAAAAAAAAAAAAAGCGCCCAAAAGTCAAATATTCTGACATTGCAATTAGGGATTAAAGTGTGACACACAATTCAGTATTTGCTAACAATCACAAAGTCCAAAATAACTTTTTTTTTTTTTCAATCATGTCTCCTGCAATGGAAAATTATACAAAGATAGTATGCATCCTAAAGGCACCCATTTGCAGCACATATTAGTATACTCCATTTTTATGTTTTTTTAAAAAATTACTCACAAAAGTAGATGTCTTCATTGTATTTCCTGCTTTGGTATGTAGAATAGGCTGTCAGAAGACATTGGAAAGAATAAAACACAAAGCTAAATTTTTAATCTGTGAAAATTTTACTTTGAGGAAAATTTGCTTCAAAAGCAAGCATACCAATTATTCACTTTCTGGCAATTGACCCATTGTTCCTATCCCAAATCATCACAAAGATACTGAATATTTAAGCTGAATGGGCAGGTATTTGTTGTCTCACTTCTGCTGAAGTGCTAGGTGTTACAAAAGGGTTCATTTCCTATGAATTAAGGAGATCTGACTGCTATCACCCATCTGAGCTCCACACATTTCCTTCACAGGCTGATGACTGACAAATTACATCTGCTTCAAATAACAGTGCTGGCAAAGCAGGCAGGTGCAAAGAAACTACAATTCAACCTTGTGTTAGCCTTGCCCAGTTCCGAAGCTCCAAAGGTTTATTTAACCTGGAGAAGCTGCCTTGCCTGCTGGGGCAGCACAATGGATGAGAGCACCCACACGGGCGAGACGGGACACAAATCCCATCCCATCCTTACATGCAACAGCGCCTTCCAGCGGCTGCGAGGGCGCAGGAAAAGCACGGGCTCGCAAGAAGAGATCGCAGCGCATGCAGCACTGCAGCGACACAGGGCAGCCGTGCAGCCCCACCTGCGGGAGCACACAGCACCACTGCAGCCACCCGTGCGCAAGCGAAATGCGGGAAACCAGATTTATAACAGGCCTGGAAAATCTCCTGGGCAGAGCAGATTCAGCAAATAATGAGATCTTCTTGTACATTAAGGACAATATAGAAGTTGGTCTTTTTTTTTTTTTTTTTTTTTCCACGGTAATACGAGGTTAACAAACAGCTTTGGAAAAATTGGAAGTCAGTAGTTTCGAATTGCAAATTAATCCTCAGGAACCAATCTTTAATATGGTTTATCAGTAAAAAACTCTTGGAAATACAGAATGTGTATGTCCATTCCTGTACAGTAAACTATATCTGGTAATCAAAAATCTCTCCAGTCAAACTAATACTTTGTGAAATTTATGATAGAAGAACTTAAGTTCTTAAGAAGCAAACTCATTTATCAAAAACTCTCACCTCAGTGTTAAGTAAAGGCTGTCTTGCAAGTAGCTGTTTACTTGTTAAGCTGCTGCCATAATTAATTCCTACAAATCATTAGGAAAAAGCAGTTGCACAAAACAGAATAAGACAAACTCCCATAATTCTATTGACAATTTATATTCTCATGAGGTCCTGTAAACACAGTTATTTCATACCATTTACGTGCAATATGTGGTTCCATATTTATATGTAAGAAAGACACCAACTTTATTCTGTTAAAATTCTTGGCCACTGCATTTGAGCCTTAAGCCTCTGAGTTACATTTCAATATACACTGATGATGAAACGCTTTCTACTTACATCTACATTCCATCCATGCAAAGAACAGCATTAATCAGCAACTATTCAAGGTGCAAAATTTGACCTTTCATACTGGGACCTCTATGAGAACACTGCTCGCACAATTAAGTTCTGTTTTTTTCAATACTTAAAGAAGGCTTTGAAGAAAGACTGGAACAAATTTTTAGCAGGTCCTGTTGCAATAGGAGAAAGGGTGATAACTTTAAACTGAAAGCAGGTAGATTCAAACTAGATACAAAGAAGATTTTTACAGTGGGGGTGGTAAAAGACAGTACAGGCTGCCCAGAGAGGCAGAAGATCCCCCATCTCTGGAAACATTTAAGGTCAGGGTGGGTGGGACTCAGAAGACATCCCTGGTCACTGTAGGAGAAGCTGGACTAGATGACCTTTAAAAGTTCCTTCCAACCCAAATTATTCTATTATTCCTTTTTATATTTCATGAAGTTTTATTGAGGTTTTTTACAGATGAGATTGACTTTCCTATGCAAACATGTGCCATTGGTACTATGTGTTTAAAGCAACGTGGTACTTTAACTTCAAAGTCTTTTAGCTTTACAGTACGAAACCTGGTTATTACAGAAGACTAAAATCATGAGTCTTTCACATTAATTCATAAATTAAATATTTTTAACTGTCCGTCTTCAGCTATTTACTCCTCTATACAGAAAAACAACCCTAGGTATATAATAGTTATCTATGCAGTCAAAACAGGAAGCAATCTTCACTGAGTTTAATTTAAGGCCAGTCGCATTGGATTCTCTATATTGGCTTTCAAGGTCTCCAGAAACTTTGAAGCCAGTTCATCATCCACCACTCGACCATCACTCGAGAGAGTCACTGTCATGAGCTGATGCTGCTCAAGTTTCTCATTCCCTTCTTCATCTTCCACAATCTTGAGCTCTGGTCTTGCTCGGCCCACGGCGAGGATGCACGCCTGAGGAGGATTTATGACTGCTGTGAAATCACTGATGCCAAACATGCCCAGATTGGAGATACTGAATAAAACAGAAAAGAGTTTCAGTAACATGAGAAATTGCATATTCCCTCCAAGAAATAATCTATATATAAGAACTACTATGATTTAAATTCCCTCCAAGGCAAAACCCATTAAGTTAAAAATAGATCTAAACTGTTTTCAGTTGAGCACATTCAGATTCTCAAGGGTTTGGAATTTTTGCAATTAAAAATTGTGCACCTTTTAAAAAGTCCCATTTCTTTACAACTATGTATTCTTGCACTGCACACACTGAAGCCAGAATGTAAGCTAACAAAGCAATGTCTTTAAATAGATTTTGCCTTTCCCTATTCCAAGCCAAATATCTTTTAGACTGAACTTCACAACTGCAAGTTACAGTGGCTGCTGGTATCCACTAAGCAATAAAATTTGGGCACCTAGGTATCAACTCAGGCACATGAAAACATTTCTGTCCGTGTCACTACCTGTCAAGTGGTATATTAGGAAAGGCTTGGATTCTTCTGTGACAAGTTGTCTATGGAGAAAGCTGGCCCACCATCTCCTCCTTTCTGGTTACAGTTACAGCAAAGAGTGGAAAAGGATTAAATAGTACAGCCCAACCATCAAATGGCACCACTGCTGTGTTCACCATACACCAGGTCCTTAAGTGTCACATCCACCTGCCTTTTAAACACTTCCAAGGATGGTGATTCATCCACTTCCCTGGACAATCTGTTGCAATGCTTGACAATCCATTTCATGAAGAGTTTTTTCTTAACATCCAAACTAAACTTCCCCTGCTGCAACTTGAGGCAATTTCCTCTCCTCTTGTTACTACCTGGGAGAAGAGGCCAACCCACACCTCTCTACAGCTACACTCCTTTCAGGCAGAAAGAATGAAGAGTGATATGGTCCCTCCTGACTTAACAATCCCAGTTCCCTCAGCTGTTCCTCACAAGACTTGTGCTCCAGACCCTTCACCAGCTCCACTGCCCTTCTCTGGATGCACTCCAAGACCTCAATGTCTTTCTTGTAGGGTTGGAACCAAAACTAAATACAGAACTCAAGGTGTAGCCTCACCACTGCCAAGTACAGATGAAATGAACCTGAAGCAGGGTAATTGGTTCCCCCTGATACAAGACAGTCTAGGTTTGACCCTCAGAATCATCACAAAGAGTTTCATCCTAAACAGAGCAAGATTTTAAAAGCAATGCATTAAAAGACAGTGGAATTGCTGAGGATAAAACAGTTTTGAACCCATGCTGCATGTATTAAATGCTGCTAGAGTTTTACCTAAAAGATCCTCCCTGGTACTCTTCTGGTAGTAGTTTTCCATCTCTGGCCTTCTTTGCTAAAGCCTAAAGAAAAGAAAAGAAAAAAATAGAAATCAGTGTGTTGTAATAGACTAATTCTTTTTATTTCAGTAAGACATTTTAAGTACCATACAGACATAAAGTAAGCAAAAGTCACTTGCTTTTGGATTTAGGGAAGCACCCTCAGCAACACCTGAGGCGTTGTTGCAAGGATTTGGCAAAGAGACTAGGACACAAAACTTCATTTTTCCACCAATATTGGCCATTCAATAAAAGCTGTTCTCTCATCTTACAAATACTGCTCCAGTTTTTACAATGGAACCACCATTCTCCCTGGTGGTCGTAGATTATCTAGCAAAATACTGATGAGAAAAATTCACAGTATTCTTAACATACTTGTTTAAAGCAACTGACATGTACCATTTCAGAACTTTCTACCAGATTGAATTAATGTACTTCTCCCAGTTAAACATTCAACCACCTTTTGAAGGCTACCTTTAAGGCCACTCCTTCTGAGATCTCCATTTCATTTGTGAGACTTTTCTTTAAAATTCAACAGAAGACAGCTTCAAATACAGCCCAAGAAGTTCCTACTATGTTCCAAGATGAGATCGCAGAGTTGTACAAAATTCTAAAATTCGTAATAAGCATGTCAAAGTTACAAGGATACACTGAGCTTTAGTTTAGACTTTTTCTCATCTCTGAATAATTAGTGAAGACAATAGCCATGGGAACAGCATTCACACAACAGGCTCAATATAAGCGTGATGTGTTTGTGCAATTGCATTATTTGAATGATGAAAATCCAGTGCCAGGATGCGTATGACCTGGAAAGAAGTCCACATTAACATGCAGCAGAAGGGAAGATATAAGCAATTATACAAAGAAAGTGCCTGCCAAACTACAGGGAGACTGACAGAGAAGCAGCTGCAGTTCCAGTGCACGCACATCAGGTACGTGTTTGTTTCAGTAATTCAGTAAGAAGTTGAAAAGCAAAATGATGTTGGTGTGGACAGCTATGTCACACATATGCCACTTAAAAGGCAAGGGGAATGCTCACTATCATAGCCCATTGAACACAAGCTGAATTTCCATCATGGGAACTGAAGGACATTGATTTGTGGTAAGAGAGGTTTGCAATACCGCACACTATTTCAGGTATTGGGGAATAGAATGAAAGCACAAAACTGAACAATGCTTCTCTTCTTGTCATTCTATCACAAACCCCACAACAATCTCAGCTGACCTTCCTCCCCAACTAGCTACTACTGTAAGGAATTGTTTTCACAACACACTCAGCATAAAGTAAGAAATATGGACTGGAAAAAAACGTTAAAAACACCCATTTATGAATGTTTTGTGGTATGACCCATCTTTTTCTGCCACAACTTTTTGGCTGTTCCCCTCCATGAACATAGACTATTATGGCTTCTATAGTTCTACATGAAAGGCAAGAATTTATGAAGTGCACTGGTGTCTAGTTTGGGGACACTTTTATGTCCTAGGATCCGTTTCCATTGCATTCCTCAGATGGTGTAGGTCTTTGATTAGCACTCGTTAAATGACAAAAAATGGCCTGTCTTGGGACATTTCATCATTCATTCTACTTTTGCCTGCCAAAAACCACTCCTTTATCTGGCAACAACTGCCACATATCACTCTGACTGGCACCTGCTCTATGCAAAATACTGCTCATTAGTCTGAGGAGTTTAGTGTTACATCCTTAATTGAACCGCATATTGAAAAAAATGCAGACAAAAATACATTCCATAATATAACTGCAAAGAGAATAGAAAAAGCAGACACAAGAAAATTTCTGGGAAAGGGAAAAAACACAAAAAAACCAAAATCTCAAACCTCAAGACTGGAAATACTAATGAAACTAGCATTAAGTAGCATTCTCTTGAGGCTTAAAGAATTACAATTATATTAAATCGCAAAAGTCTGTACAGGTTTATTTTTCAAGCAGTCTAGCCACCATTCAACTAAATAACATAATATTATTGTTGATGAAAAATGGAGTTGCAAAATCAGTAAGAATTTTGAAGTGTAAGTAATGCTGAAACTGCTTTAGTTCCACTGCCTTTGTTATTACTGATGTGTATCTGGGTCACGCTACATTTTCTGCTACAGAAAAGCATACAGCTGCTCTATTCCTCAGCCTGCTGCACATTTCAGACCCACCTTTGCAGAGGCAGCAATTTCCTTTATTCCCTTGGCAGCAACATCTTTTATGATTGGCGTAATGAGCCCTCGGTCCGTTGCCACGGCAATGGAGATGTCAATGGACTGCAGCCGCCTGCAGGCTTCCCCATCCCACGTTACATTCACATCTGGCATTTGCTAAAACAGACAGACAAAAAAAAAAGACAGCTGTTAGAAGAATATCAGTGCAATCAGTTATTAAGAAAAAGGAAATTCCTTTAAGACACATAGCTATCTACAGGCATCCACCAAGTGAAATAGCTTGCACTGATTTTATTCATATTTACTTCATCAAAAGACATGAAATGTATGCACCAGAAACTAAAAATGCAGTACAGACAAAAGTTTGTTTGGTGTTGCTAGGAAAAGACCCCCACATTACTATAAATTTCTTCACAAATACCAGCTTATGATGGCCAGCATGTAAAACCTCAAAGCAGTGCAACTTCTCCCACAAAATAACATCACAGGATGCTGGATTTTAAAGCATGGAAATGGACATCCCACTACACCCGCATGTTGTTTTTCACTGGTGTCTCAAGCACGATTCTCAACAAATAAAATATGCTGCAGGTACACTCACTGTTATTCAGATGCTCTCCTAAAATGCATCAGATTTTTTTTGTGGGTGGACTAAGTTAAAATTGAGATGTTCACTAATAATTTCATTTAGATTGTTTAGCTTAATGAAATTAAGAGGGTATTCCATAAAAATTATGGGAGGGATGCAATATCAAAAGTGACTCTACTGTCTATCTAAAGTATCTGCTCTCCTAGGAAGAAGTGGTATGACAGTATTCTGAGTTCCTATTCTTCAACACCAGAATAAAGGTATTCAAAAGAGATGGTAGGGACAGAATTTGTCACTTCAATAATGAAAGATTTATTTTTAAAGGACAGCTGCTACAGGAGGCTTTGTAACAAAGCCCAACCACTTGAAGGTATCAGCCTATAAGTTTTACTTCCTTCCTGCTCCCTTCTCCCTCCTTGTTCCAGAAAGAAGATTGGTTCTACTGGGCTGTCACCTGGTGAGCCCACTAGCACATTCACAACATCTCAGCTGTCAAATGTCAAGACCAAGCTGAAACACAGAACCCATAACTGGACTGGTGATATCCTAAGTGAAGGAGAAATTTAGCATGTTCAAGAACTAATACAAGCAGTATCTTGTGGTGTGTCATAAACTGTCAAACCAGCTGTAGTCAGCCCATTAAAGCCAGAAGAACACATTTTTCATTGTTCAGAGATAAAATAGTAACAAAATATTCTCTGAAGAGTACCCAGAAAAGAGTCAAACAAACTGCCTTGAATTTCAACTTGAAGATGCATTTACATCACCCAGTTTCATGGGGGAGAGGTACTGGTGGAAGTGGGTTTTCTTTTTTTAAAGCAGTTGCCCACATCTTTTCCTAAAATGCTGGCAGAAAGTAGATGAGAAGTGAGCTTGATCATGAACTTGTTTCCTGATATACTGAGTTAAATCTGTTGGGCCTTTTTTTAATGTATTATTTTAATAGTAAAACAAATGCTAGCATAGCTTTTTAACAAAACAATAGGATAGAAGAATTTTATTGGTTATTTCCATATCTACACAGTGTTATTATCAGCTCAAAAACTAACAGCCCCCTCAGAAGACAAAACACAAAACCTCTTGCTCTCTCTCTCCTGTTCCTTTTACCTGCTCTCTGGTGCAGAGATAAGTTATCCAACACTCACAGCAGCTCATGGTAAACTTTGGGTGTCACTATTTCCTCACAAAAGGTTTCATTAGGCCACTAAAAAAGTTTCTTGTTATGTACACATCTAACAAAAGCAAAGCACACATATTTGGCTCTTCCTTTTGGTTTTGGTATTAACTTGCAGAATTTTTTTTCCAGTCTAAATAAGGCCTCAAATTTCTCTAAGGCACTTGCTTATGAAACTGTGTAGAATCCTGTCTATTTTCTGTCCAAATGAAACATTAAGTTATACCTAAGCTATAGCTCTTAAAATTATACATTAATATTTAGTACATGTTCAGCTAGAAATCTGTTAAGTCTTTTCCAGTCCGGTGTTCTCTCAATTCCATAAATCCATAGGAATAGGAATACTCCCCCAACATAAATTCCTCTCTCAACTTCTAAATAGTTCAAATTATCCTCACAAATGAGAAAACCAGCTCTCACATCCTTTCCAAAGTTTTTATATTACTGTGAGGTAATCCAGGCAATGAGAATTCCTAGCAATGAGCAGACTGGTTGCCAGAAGAATTTTTATTTCAAAGCAGGTATCACTCAATGTGCCGTCAGAATACACCTGAGGTAATAACAAAGTTTGTTTAAGACTTAGATGAATGTTTGCTTATAACTAAAAGAAAGAAGATCTAACTAAGATGAAATGAATGATCTTGGCAATGGCTTTAATCTGCTGACAAAGCAACTACTGTGATTTGCAGATGTTAACTGCAGTAAATGGATTTTTACTAAGAAGCTCTCATTTTTATAGTTCACAACAGAGACAGTGAAGAGAATTTTACCTGGAAACCTAAAAAATCTGACAATAAGCAATACAGAATTACCAGCTTTACTGTGATCCCACTCATATCTCCACATACTCACAAAATACTTTTGTCTCCTAGGCAGTTTACTATTAAAAGGTATTTTTAAAGTCAATTATTTGCGTACCTTCAGAGTAACTGCTGTTGCCTTGATAATAAAATCATTTACAGATACTTTAATGTCATCTGCAAAGGGAAACAGAAAAATTTTAAAAAAGGATAACAATCATTGTTTGTAAGATTTGTTTATCAGTATTTGTGTGATGACAAGATTCTAGTGATTCAGCAGATTTATTTCTTTGAAGCATTAACAGAAAGTCACTTATCTTCAAAATCCAATAATAAAAACAAGAAAACTTTTTTCCCCCTTGGGACAAAAGGCGTATCTACCAAGAAAAATCTCATGCAAAGACACTCAAGAGTTTCAGGAGACTGAAACTGGTAACTGGTAAAATTAGGAGTGGCATCAGAAGCAGGAATAATAGATACAAAACAGATTAGGCCATAAAATTACCCTGAAATGTGTGACATTTACACAATATTAAACTCATCATTCTCACAATTAAAAAAACTACATTACCCTTCCACCACTATCACTACTGTCAGCAAAACTGATCAAGCAGCAAAACTGCCTAATTTTCAAATCTGGTTTATGGCATGTAACATACCTAAATTTAGAAATATTTTTGCAAGGGAAAATAATATATAATAAATAATAATATCAAGTGAAACATTCTTAAGTCATCACAAATTTAGAGGAGTGAACCAATTATCCACTTACCACATAACTGGCCTGCAACATTTGCCATGATTAGTAATCTATGTGCAAGAAGAGAGACAGTATTCCAACAGAACATAATGGAACTTTCAATTACTATGCTGAACTGACAAAATTTTACATCAGACAAACCTGTACCATGATCAAATACACACTGGTTTCTGTTTACATACTATATTCCTAACCCTTGGCAAAAATGTCACAGTCCAGTATTAGAGCAGGAATACAGTTACATGATCCACATCTGGTAATATTTTACCCTGCATCAATGAAGTTTGTAATAGTAGAAACCCCCACAATTTCCATCAGAGGAAACAAAAATGTACCAGGACAAGCTCTGTAGTTCAATGTCATGCAAAGACATACGGCTTTTCCACCTCTGCATTTAAAGGAAATATTAATTAAGAATCAACAACAGCAGGAGAGGTGTGAAAAATTTCAATTGAGTATTCCTAACTAAGATCCTTTTTTGGTTCATTGCTTAAGAACTGCTGCTGTTTAAAAAAATATCAGCATCATAAAATGTCTTTGACATTCATTTGTGAATAAGATACCATTAGGACAAATAACAGGTAGAAAAATGACCTGGGTACTCTTGCATTAAAAATTAGTCATTCAGAACTCCAGGGGAAGGACAAGCAGCTCCTGTATCATCATCTAGGAAATCTGGATATACCTGTCAAATTTAATTTTAGACCACACAAACAGATAAACAAGCATGGCTAGTGACTAGTACAGAACAGTTTGTCTCAGTTTCTCAATCAGTACAGCAATAAAAATGTAAATTAAACCTATTCTGCTGTGTTGTTCTGAATGCAGAGCTCACATGTCTTAGGAAACCTACCATTTGAATCTATAAGCTTTCAAATCATGACAGCAATCATGAAGCTTTAGATCAAAACTTGAAGTGTCTTAGACCTAAAATTATTTTACCCAAGTCACAGACTCAGTACCAGTCTAAGAGGTGCATGTCTTCATCACCAAACAGAGCATCACTACTGCTTATGCAGCCTGGTTATTGTGCAAAATAAGACTTCAGACTGATGTGTAAGTTGGCAAACACTTCTGTCTTCCTATATTTTGACAAGTTGTCCAATTCAGTAATTGCCAGGAACTACAGCTGGAGTCCAACATACTGAAGAAAAAAAACCTATTTGAATGCATAGTGGTCTATCTATACAAAATGTACACCTCCTGGGGAAGTTTATGTAAACAGGAAAAACTAAACATTAGTATAACCACATTAATATTACCACATGCTAAAGTAAATCAGATTACTAACCTTTGGCCAATTCTTTTCTTAATTTCAAAACAGCATCAATGACACAGTCAGCAGCAGCATATGCATGAGGTATGGTGGTTTTAGACTCTGTTAATCTCTTAGCAATAACTCTTCGGATGTTGCTAGCTGGGATTTCTGTGAATGTGCCCTGAAAGAAATCATATGCTGTGTATTAAATATCAGGAGAGCAAACACAGTTCCCCTTTTCTGAAAGTACTCCAGCATTTATGCATTATCATCAGTGACTCCTGCCCATGTCAACTATCCCCTAGGTATCCAAAAGTGATACATTCCAACTAATATGATAAAGACTATCATGTGTTCTAGTCTATTCCTATTAACTGCGATCAACACAACAGGTTTTACAGAATAATTCCATTTTACATAGAATTAACCTTGTTAAAAAAATAATAATAATCCAAGTATTGAGACATTTATTTTCAGCCAGATTATATAAACACTATTCAATCTTCCAGGCTTGGCATATTGCTCAGATTATGCTTTGCTCCATTTAAATTATAAAAGAACACTTCCTTGGTAAACTACGGCTTTTTCAACTCCCTGTGTAGCTCCTTAAGACAGGCTTTGCTGCATCTTTTCTGTTATTCCTCTCTCTCCTTCCAGATAGATCCAATAATGTTTTAATGACCAACTTCTTCCTAGACGCAGAGCAACTTGCAAGAAATCTCTTAAAATATTAGCGACTACAGAAAGCAAGAAGATAAATGATTCTGGGAGACATGATTTTGTATACTTAATCTTTAGCACATATCCCTTGAACATATAAAGGTCCACAGAATCCTTAGGACATACTCAACAGTACCCAAGACACAATAAATTGCAATATGTTCTGGTGCAATCACAGAAACATTTTATTCTATAATGGATCTAAGGCTGAGCTTTCAAGTTTTTTGGCTCTTTGTACAGTGCAAAAAAAAAAAAAAAAAAAAAAGGCAGCATTCCCTGATTAAGAATTGTAGCTACATTGTAAACTTCAAACTAAAAAGATACACCAAATTTAGTTCTAGAGCCAAAAATGTTTTTCATAAAAGCTTTTCAATTTCTACTGATGTCTATTTCATCAGGGGCATTTATTCTTTAAAGAAATATTTTCTGGTATTTCTAGTATTTCAATTTAACACAGAAATTTAATTAGGTTCTAGAGTTTGCACAATTACTGTCCAAGGTAACCACTAAGAAGCCTTTTCCTTCCTCATTTCTTGACAACTCATTAATGGACACTTATATCTTGCAGGAAAGCAAACAAATCAAGCACAGTAAAAATAAATCATCATTCTAGTTTCTCCAAGGCCTGCAATATAAATTTTTTCATCACTCCAATCTGCAAGCTACACAAAATAGTATGCAGACCATCATTTCAAGGATTTCACAGTTTTAATTACATTGCTTAGAATCACTGAAACATACTAAAAACTTCACATCTCTGAGCTTGATATCTGGGTGGCCTTAGTTTCCTTCCTCTTTCTAGATCTAGAAATCTCAGAACTACTTAAGCAGCTTTTGCACTATTCAGCTGTAGCAATGCTGAAGTCTTAGCAGAAGTATTACCAGTGCACCAGGTTGTCCGGGTGTGGAAACTGGTGGAATTGCTGGCCTTGGATAAGAAGTCACAGCTGTTGCTTGTGTAGGAGAAGGCACTGCAGCAGGAGCTGGAGAAACCACAGGTTTCAATTCACTGGGTTTACCTTTCTGCTTCTCTTGCAGAAGTTTAAGAGCATCCCTGGTGATTAAACAAAGTGAAATGCTGACAACAAAGAAACTATTTAACAATACCTAAGTAATACTATTACATCACTTATTCTATTTAATTAGCCACTTCTGTACATTTAAATTTCTGTTGTCAAACCAAACATTAAGAAAGTTATTATTATTAAATGATATTGTTTTTGTGTTGCCTTTCTGGTATCTTTTTAGTAAATTCTCATTAACTTCCATTAATAAAAGGGCCTGAATATGCAGTAACAGAAAACATTTGTGCTAGAGAAGCATAACAATCATCATCACTAACTGTAAGCATGCAAAGTGATTTTTGAATTGCATTAACAATTCTTCTAAATCAAAGAGTACATTTATTCAGGCTACAAAGTCTAAAAAAAAAGCTGTGTCATCTGTTGTATTTGTAATAATCTGAATTTAATGTAATGTAGTGTTAAGAGAAAATTGAGTAATGCATTTGTCACTCATTTCTCTGCACCTTTCTGAGATAAATTTGCAGAGTTGGGCACAAATGTTATACAGGCCCATACTTCCAAACACCACACTGGAGAAAGAAAGTCAAAGCGTTCAAAGCAAGGATTTTTTACTGATACAGCTACCATCACAAAATTTTCCTGTTGTGGACGCAGTATGACGGAGAGGAGAGACTCCCATCTCCAAGCCATGACGCTGTGTCTGCCCCAGGGGCACTGCATTCATAAAGCAACAAGCTAGAGACCAGCACCTACGAGGCTGAACAGCAGTAACTGCATTTCCACCACCACTGCCAACTGCAAGGCAAGTCAGTTGTACATCTCCTCTCTTTATGCTCCAGATCTGCTAACAAAAGTCTTACAATTGCTGACTCAGTTCAATTTATTCTTACCTTCAACACATACTTCAACAAACAATATTGCGAACAAAAAAGCAAATGAACTCAAGGTAAAATTTTTCCTAATTAGAAGTTGTTACTTGTTTTCCCAAATGAACATGCTGGCTAAAATTTCTTTTAAAATTAAATGTTTATTATTTGACACAACTACTGTATCAGGAAAAAATATTAGATTTGATAGAATGAAAATCATTCCTTACCACTACAATTTGCGACATAAAAAGTAACTGCATGACATAATGCAAGCATCTTCATTAACATTTAGAAGCTACCAAAAATTTGTTAAGGGCTTGCACTTGGGAGTCATAGGAGAGACCATCTGGTTTTGGTGGTTTTTAGTGTGTTAATTGGAAAATGGATTGCCAAAATTAAGCTTATTTTTAGATTAAAAATTCACTCAAGACTTTCTGAAACTAGTTTGTACAAAAGACATATATAAAAATCAAAGTTCACATGTATTTGTTATACATATGAATAGAGATCGTCCCATCAATTCCGAATTATTTAACTGGTTAAGAAAAACAGGTACAGCAGTGTTATGACTGTCATGGTTGCAACACTGCAAGCCTGAATATAAGCAGAGTTAGAAGAGGCATCAAAGCACGTAACATTAAACATGTTTAAGTAAAAGTCAGATAAACAGATATTTTATTACAACTGGAAAAGGAAGGGTTGGTCACATCTTTTCTATAAATTCTATCAACATGGGTCAGTAACAGAGGAAGAGAACAGAGGTAACAAACATCAAAGAGCAGCCACCTTTGCAGAAAAGATATGAAAGTTTAGTAAATGTTTATTAAAGAAAAATATGCCTTACCAAACTGTTATTATTAGAAATATGCAGATCCCGGCAACTCTATTACACTTCAGTTTACCACTACTACAGAAGTGTGTCATCTTTTCACTTCATGTTAGCCAAAACCCAAAGAATGGTGAAAGCAAACTGAGTATTTTGTGTTCAAGATATACTTTTCTTGATACAAGTTGGGTTAAACAGACACTTAAGAATCACTGAGGATCCAACAGTGGAACAAGAGATGCCTGGATTGACACAAGCTTCCTGTGGGGGCAGTTATTGTAACTAAATTGCACCCAATCCCTTTCATATGTTCCATATTCCCTTTCCACATGTTTACACACCTGTTTACTCAATTCATAGATTTCCTGCAAGAAGGCAAATGGTCAGCAGAGATTCAGAGCACATCAGAAACTTCCAGGTATCAGATTTACTGCACTATCGTTATAGAAGGAACTCATTCCTCCCACATATCAGCTAACAAATTGCACACAGCAGAGATCCCAGGGTCAGTTCATACTCAGTACATGCACATGAATTTCATCTCCAGAAAAACAGCACTCCAGGGGTGTGCTGTGTGTTCTCTGTAAGCTGAAAATGCCTGAGCAGCTCAGAGATCCCAAGACACACTGACTTAACAACAGCTGGGAGCAACAGGGCCTCAGAAAAACACAGTTCTCAATAACCAGCCTTTTCATGGTTGCATTTATAAATCCCTAGACCACTATGAAGTAGAATGGGAAAGGGCAGTAGTAGTTAAAACCATCAATTTTAATATAGCTCTCCCAAACAGTGTCTGAGCTGATGAGTACATGGTACAATCTTTGACAAGAATTTGTGAGTTATTTTGTACTGGCACACCAATTTTCCAGGACATTTTTGAAGAAAATGATATTAAGTGATACAAGAGGATATTACTTAGAAATAACAAATAAAAAAACCCTGCCACTCTATTAAAAAAAAAATCACTCAAAACCAACAAGAAAATAGGCAGGAAAAAAACAACAGCAATTAGAATACATAAGAGAAATAGAAATAGAAATATACAGATAAATAAAACAAAGTATTGGCCTACTAAGGGAGAATGTCATGACAGAGAATGCCAGTAGAGTGGAAGTTCCAACTGCTTTTGCAAGTTTTACAGTGAATTGAATTTAAAGATAGAAAGCTGGGGCAAAGAATCTTGCTTGCTTATATAACTCGCTATCTTTCTTGTAGTCTGGTGAGTGCAGTAAAGGAAATATTTCCCTGAATATCTGCAGCAGCTCTCTATAAAAATCTGCACATTTCATTTCAAACTGAATATCATAACAGTCTGTAGGCATCTGAAAGATTAACCCCATTTCAAAACAATGGTTAAAAAACTCCAGACATTCTTCATCTTAAACTGACATTTTATAGTCAAATCTTCTGTATGAAAAAAGCAGTTCTAAAAAGAAATTATTTTGCTAGATAATTCTCATAACTACAGAAAAATCTTTGCTAGATCTCCATGACAACTAGGAAGTGTTAATTTGTTAGTTCAAAGTCCTAGAGGGTTTCCACCTGCCATAGCCTCATTACACACCATAAATTACCATTACACTTACATAATTAAGAAAGAACTCTGATGATTTGCTGTTACATAGCATATTCTATCTACTCAAGTCCTTATTACATCTCAACTCAGTCAAAGGTCATAAGAAAAAACAAATGGTTTGAAAAACTGTCTGCCACTTTCCTGGCTCCAGTTCCAAGTTACACTGACCTGGTCCTGGTTGTCTCTGAATGGAACTAAAATAACAGTACCCAGCAAAGTCTGTGTAAGTGACTGATGGTACTTGTCAAAAGAAATAATTTTACTGAGAACAAAAATACTAATTTCTGCCAAAATCATCACTTCCAATAACATACATACTCATGTGAAGAGAATGCATCACTTCAAGGCTAAATGCACTGAATCTACCACATTTTTTTACATTCAGTTTTCACACTCAAAGGCTTGAGTGCCAATAATTATATTGCAATACTCACAAAGGTATAAAAACCTACTACATCATAACAAACCACAGCTTGGTAAACAAATGTTCTTTAAATCATAGAGAGGAAAAAGAAAAATGGGAGAAAAACAGAATTCTGGAATTTCTCATCATTACACTTCATTGCTCTCCCCAACCTAATAAAAATAGGAAAAAATAAAAATCCTACAGATTTCAGAGCAGAACTACAGGAAAAAAAAAAGCAAAAGATCTCAACTCCCTAAAGAAAAGGAGTTGAAGAACATACCAGAAAACTGGTATTTTATTTTGATTCTGTATGCATCTTGGCAAGTAAAATTCTTGAGATGCACAGTGGTAACTAACATTGGTGCTTAGGAAGCAATAGCTGCCATTAGGCTGAGCTGCAGGAAATGTGACAGAAGTACCACACAGCTAAGATGGGACTTAAAAAATACAAATATATGTTCTGGTTTTTTTTCTAATTAAGGCCTTCTTCAAATACTGCCTAACCCATTCTCCCTATCTTTTCAACAGATTTTTCCAATTTAACTAAAACCATCCATAAGAAAAGTGGAACAAAAACATGGCTTTTTTAAGAAGCAAACTTTAATCTAATGGAGATTACTCTAATATCAAAAGTTGTAGGTTTACCAAATTATCTACATACTCTTTAGTGAAGATTCCTCGAGGCCCAGTAGGTGTAACATTGCTTGGATCTAGTCCATGTGTCTCCAAAATGTTGCGAGCTGCAGGACTTAAGCGAACCCTGAAGAAATTAGAGGGAAAATTTAAATTATTTTAATAGTAAGATTAACTTATTTAATTAATGTACATCACAAGAAACTACATTTGTCTCTGGTCAACTACAAAGCACAGTACACTGGCACAGAGTACCCAGTGCATCTTAATATGATTAGCTTTCTGAAACGAGGAGAAAAGCCAACATCTAGAGAAAATGTTTTGGAATTCTTAGATACAAAGCAACAACACACTCATAAAAGAATAAATACTTGGTTTCAAGTCTTTCCACAAAAATCTGCTATTCATTATTTCCCAAAGGAGACTATATTTGCACCTCATTGAATTTTAAGAATGGTCCATTAAGCCCTGGCCAAAAAAACCCCATGTCATAAATGATCATTTGGTTCCAAACATGCTGATACATCTCTAACAGCTGCAGTGAAACAGCACTTCTGCTCTTTGGTACTAAAATGAAAGACATAATCCTTTTAAGGATCATCCTCCTGCTACAGGTAATGCCTGGGCAATGACCTCAGCTGTCGCTCACTTGCATGAGAAAAGCCTAAATCCTGGCAGCATTTAGAACACAGCAAACCAACAGACAGAAAAGGTAATGAGGTTTGGGGAGAAAAAAATAAGCACAAATAAGGAGAGATACCTCCAAACAGGATATATGCTGGGACACAAAGTGATTGCGGATTATTGCTACCTGACTAACACTCTGGAGCTGACCCCTCCTCCAAGGTGTTTGCAATGCTTAGAATACCAACAGATCCAAACCAAACTAACAGAGCAGATAAAGCAACTGGTTTAAGTTTTTCACACTCCACTGTTATGAAAATATTAGAATAATTTTTTTCTAATATCAAAAATGTGAGAGATTGTAAGGACTTTGGAGTGTGCCACGTATTTTTTCTCCTCAAATAAACAGAAAACAAGTCATAGATACCCTTGGCATCTGATGCATAAGCACCATTATCCATCCTGTATTAGCACAACTTCTTTCCAACTGTAAGCTCAGAATCATTCATAATTTAATTGCAGGACAGAATATAAGTACATTTAATTCTAATAACATTATGTTGCTTGTGTTGACTTACTGGGCTTAAGAGCAAATAAATGGTCTAGGCTTGCAAGGTTTATCACCTTACTCATACTGAAACACTCTCAAAATAACAGCCTACTACTTAGGTAAAAAGGGACAAAAAATATTTCTTGGTTCAGTTCCACTGATCTAATGAAGAGCTTCATTTCATAACAAACAGAAACTTACTGCAATTTCCCAGGCTGATGTTGCAGTTTAGGAGGGGCTGAAACTGAAGGAGCTGCAGGAGCAGGTGCTGGTGGAGCCACAGAAGATGGACCACCAGCATCAGCTGGTATTTCAACTTGTTTCCAGTCCTGGCCTTCCTCTACCAGCAGACCAATTAGTGAGCCCAAGCGAACATTTTTGCTTCCTTCTTCCACCTAAATTGAGAACATTAAGTTACATATTACACTGTCTGCTCTGATATGACTAAAACCAGTAGATGTCAAAGTTTCAGACATATTAACAACAATTCATCAGTAAGATATATTCCATTTTATTGCTACTATTAATAAGATATTGCAAGACTGAAATTAATTATAATTGCTATTATAAGAAGAGGAACATTAAATTATGCCCCAAATCCCATACACCTAAAGTTAGCACTCAGAACTCAAAGTAACTTTTTGTACGTGCAGCCTTTGCAGCTCAGAACTAGGATAGAAAAAGAAAAATTATTACAATTCTGCTTAACTTTTCATCTCCTGGATTTTTGAGTCACTGCTACATTTTCATTAATCACAATAAAAAAACCTCTGCATAAACCTCAATGAACCCTAGAATCTCAGATGCAGAAAGAGCTGAAATAAATAGAAGGACTCTAGGTACTAGAATGACTGGGGTCTTCCTACTGAGCCCTTGGCTCCTGCTGTGTCGCAGTGTCTGGTCACCTGGCCAGTGCCACAGGTCCCTGTGCCTTTTGCTGGGCAAAGGGTCAGCACCAGGTCAAGGCTCCTTTTCTGGTGCTCCCACCACATCAAAACCTGCAGCTCCCACTGCAGCTGCACATCCAGTACCTGCTCTAAGTCTATTCCTCAACAATTAATTACAGTTCTTAAACAATCACTCCTCATCTATTTTGTCCCAAATTGAACCGTGTTTCACGGAAAAAAAAACAAGTGTTAATTTAAGAAGCAACTCTACTGAAAGAATAATCATCACTCTGAAATCACCCTTCTAATATTTCATTCAGTTATTTAATCTTTTATTGCATTTTACACTGAATCAGATGTGATCATTAAAAGACCTAGTCAGACAGAGAAGAAATAAAGATGCATGAGTTTCTATTTTACTGTTAGCCTGCTCTTCCAAAACCATATATAGATTATACAGTCCAGAAAAACCAAGGGTTATAGAAGTTGAATTAATTTAACCTAATGAACCTCCTATCTTTAAATGCAAAACCCAAAGCATTATGCAGACAGTGCACTCATATGACTCAAGTTTTCCATACTGAACTCTGTCAAGATGGTTCAGAATTGTAGCCGGCATCAAAAGACACACATTTTTGTCTCATTTCTTTTAGGAAATGTGTGAAATTCAGCCAGATGCTAGCTCAGAGGCACAAAACATTTTTAAATTCCTATTAACTACATCACATGTGAAACTTCTGAGTGGCCCTTGGAAGGACAATCTTTTCAATAAATAATCAACCCATCCACAAACCTGACACAGCTCATTTTATAAGACTTACACAAACATCTACTGAACACCTAATATAGAGCAGAAATATCCACCAGACAGTGCAGAAAGACAACCAAGGATCACACCTGAGCTAGGGAAAAAAAAATCTGAAAACTTCTGATCTTACTGCTCTCTTGTTATTTTAGTTTCTGAAATATCAGCGTTTTTCTGTACTTTTTATGAGACTGGAATAAAAACCTGTCTATTCTGTACTCTGACTCTTAGGCCTACCATTTCTAGATTCCACGGATTAAAAGAATCCATTAAAAATTGGGTTTGCATAATGATCTGTTCATGTTACTCCAACAAAGCTGCCTCTCTTCCCTTATTCTGAAAGATGTTATAGTTATTTTCTACCTCCTGGCATCTCCTTCTCAGGTTCAGCTCTTGTCATTGGATTGTTACTAGATCATATGGATATAACTAAGGCTGAATGCCACTGCTCCATGACACTGATATCATCTAGCTGCTGGAAAGTCTGGTTTTGATCTATCAAAAAATGTGCCACAAGAGCAATACAGAGAAATTTAGAAATTTGCAATGCATTTGAAATACAAGACAGGAAACAAAAAAACCCACAGCTTCTGAAATACTAATGTTATTTGTAGCCATCACGAATTGCTATTAAAGAAACTAAGCAAACTTTAATTTAATTTCTCTAGGATTAATTCTTTAATACTTTTGACAGAGAGAATCCTCATATCTCCCCCTCACGCTATCTAACAAAGCAGTGTCTGCAAATGCAGAATAGGTTGCACAAGATTTTTCAAGGTTATCAGAGACAAACTGATTTTCAGAAACATTCAAAACTGAAGAAGAGAGACTTTTTTAAAGTGAAAGCATTGCCCAGCAATTATTTAGATAATTACATGGAGACTAAACACAGATTAAAAAATACGCCCCATGTGAGACTTCATCCTGGCATGGCAGAACAGATCCTCTCAAACCTATTAAATGTGTTGTTCCATAGTTGAACACCAATTTAGCAACACAATTAAAAGAAGGAAAAACATTTTAATAACTTCTGTCTATGTACACTAGTGCTTAAATGCAAGTTATCCTAGAATTGGAGACTAATGACAGTTTTTGTAAGCCCGGATAGACTTCATTTCCAGCTGAGTTCCATCTTACATCCCCTCTCCTCTCTATCCCAGCCCCCCATCTATCCTGACACTTTCACTTTCGCAAAGGATGTTGCCTTGGCTTATATAAAAAAAGGAAGATACCAAACAGATCATCGCTTTTTAAATGCTGCCACACAGGAAACTACTCTCCTTTTTCTGTTTTTGCAAAGGAGAACTGTGCAAATACATGCTGATGTAAGAAAATGCAGCTGTAGCAGAGATAGGAAGTCCAATATAGCAATCCAAAAAGCTTTTGTAATAGCAGCACAAACACGTATCACTGAGCATAGGGTAGAATTTTCTCACGGCACCAGGAACCAGCTTGTACCCATGCTCATTCTGCTGTTTCTTAAGTAGCTGGATTGCAATTAATACCAGTATGCCTAATTTGTATGATTATGTGATCCACACCTCATGGGTAGATGTGCCCTATATGAGATCTCCCTAACCAAATGATGTAATATTTGCTGAAAGTACTCATCTCTCATTTTAATTCATTTTTTCCCAAATTCTTGCAATTCACCCTGTTGTCTAATTATTGTGGAGGGAGAGAAGAAACAGCTGCCATACACCACCAGCTGAGACTGCTTCAGAAAATTTCCTACTCATCCCAATTCTTGTTCTTTCTATTAAGCCTAATCAATCTAATTTTGATAGAGGAAATTATTACCTCCAAAAACTGTTCTCTGGGTCAGCCCATATTGTGTAACATGCCACCTTGAATGACTAGCAGAAGACAATCTAGCAGAGAGATAACACATCCTAGGTAAAGTACCACCCAAAATTCCAGATTCCAACTGATTGTTAATTATTTTCCTGTAACTCAGAGGCGACAAGGTACAGTATTTCATGGACATAATTCACCAGTTGTAAAACATACAAAACAACAGGTTAAGTGAAAATCCATTGAATATATACAGAACCACATACCATGTACCAATAGTCTGGTACACACGTGGCACAAATAGAGCAATTATTTCTCCCCAGGAATACAAGCAAGTGCATTTTCTGAATGCTGAGCAGAAATTTAGCTATCTAAACTAGTTTTTGAGGCAACATGCTAAACAACAGTCTGAAGTTATAACACCCTACTGAGAAATGCAGGATTCCTACCAGTATTTTAGCCAATATGCCATCATCACTTGATTCCATGGTAACCACTGCTTTGTCCGTTTCAATTTCACACAATGCATCTCCAACATTCACTGTGTCACCTGCAAAATACAACAGAACTTAAGAATACTTACCCTAAACTTCCTTTCAGATTTCTTTAACCATGGAAGATAAATGTTCACCGTACAATACAGTTATTTTGTATTCCATAATATATTTCATAGCTAGTTGATCCCCATCATTACTTATATTGTAGCTTTCCTTTCCAAATAAAATCACCAAGATTCAAGAACCACAAACTGCTGTGGCAGAACACTGACATGTTCCCAGTACTGATGTTTTCAGCAGGCTTTCCCAGAGGAAGTACACACACAATGAAATTTATTTTCAGAACCTCATACTCAGTAGTTCTGCCATTAATAAAATACTGAGCCTTCCATATTCACTGCTAGCCACCAGACAGAGCAAGCTATCTAAAACTGCTTAGGACAATGGTATTATGGTTCTGTAACTGGTGTCTACACTATTAAAGAAGGTCAAATAAACCTCAGGAATTTTAATGTCTTTGGAAAAGCACAGCTGCAAGTTTGCTTAATCTCCTATATAGTACAGAAAGGTCTTTTCAAGAATGCATTCATACTTACTTTGTGAAATAAAAATATGCACAAGTGCTAGAAATTGCTTTTGCTACATTACACAAATCCAAGATTAATTCTTAAGGATTCTCTTCCTCTGCTTTTGAAGAATATCTGTATCTGCTAGCAGATGATAAAGATATGTCTGAATTATTTCAACAAATCAATACTGACTAGATGTCCAACATTGAAACTGACATTACATTAAAAACTGTTAGGTAGTTGAATGTTTTGGCTTCCAACAAAACACAGCCTTTTTTTCCTTATAGAGATAACACATACAAGCCTAAAACATGCCTACAATTTCACATGAAGTAAAAGTCTAATATTTCTCCATTACCAGAAATGCTATAACAGCATTACCTGTCTAAGCATTTAGCTTAACTACAGATATCACTCTATTGTGCTTAAGGTGCAGAATTAAAAGTGCAGGTTACCACCTACACTTAGGTAAGAGACAACACTATAAAAAAAATCATCTCCTGTTTCAGGACTACATGAATTAGAAAGGGATAATAAGGTGTTGTACCTCATTTGTGTTGAATAAAAACATCAACAGCTCAGTTACCTACACAGTTTTATAAGTCACAAATGTTCCTATTACAGAAACTGGTAGAGAAATGTACTTTGTCTTTTTAATGCAATAACAGCCACATTCCACTTTGCAATAACTAGAGCATGAACAGTTTATAAGAGGAAGTCAAAACTCTAGTCTCTATACGAGTGTTTTAATTTCACTGGATCATTAATTCAAGTAGGCCGTATATCAGATCATTAGGCAAGTACTTCTCAGCTGTTAAGAAATTAAATTGTTGGGCAAATTCTGTAATTTACAGAGCTAAGGTTGGCAAGCAGAAAGGAGCTTAACTCTGTATCTTAATCTGCCATCAGACTGTAAGTGTTCTGCACCATTAAAACGAAATGTCAGTGCTCAGAGACCAACAGCAGTGCCTCCAGCAGGGTAGGCCAGCCAAGCAAATACCTTCATCTATGAGTTTGTCATGTCACATCTCAACCTGGGTACCTGAAGCTGCTCACAGAAAACTAACTTTGTATTACACAGGGAGCACAACAGGAAAAGTCTTCTGAGAACTGGACAAACCACTTTTCCACTATCATTTTTTGTTTTCCTTTCATTGCTGCAGCTATAAAGTTACCACAAATGTGAAAGGCAATTGAATAAATGCAGTGTAAGAATTCACTTCACTGCAGCATTCAAGTCCTGTGCATGTTTCAGTACCCAAGTGCAACAGAAAAGACTATAGTTACTTTCATTAGACATTACAATATTTGTGATAGCTCCTAATCAATGCCCAGTTTGATGTCAATTACAAATCAGCTTTCCCAATGATTAGGATTGGAAAGAACACTTTTGCAAATCATATCTTTGCTCTTACACTTTAAACCGAGCAGTATTTGAAACAGAAGTTGCCTGAACCAGAGCTCTCTGAAATTATATATATACAACGCCCTTGTAAAATTTTGGGTGGGGGTTCAGGTTTTGTGTTTGTTTGGTTTGTTTCTTTGTTTGTTTTTATTTGGTTTTAATGATTAAATTCCCATAGCTAAGCTGACTGGTTAGGATCTCTACTGAAGCAGAGTTTCCTTCCAGGAGATCCAATTGGCATCCAATAGCCCTGGTGCTCTGCTCAACTACCGACAGACAAGTATCCAAATCACAAGATACAAGCTGCATTTCTTAATGTTGCAAATAAAATCAGAGTTGAGTGAACACAGATACTGAAGTCCCTGGAGCTGATGTCTCAAAAGGTAGCAGAGTTACACTGTGTGTGGATGCTGCCAGCACTGTTGTATCTTCTGTTTTCTGCCCACATTAACAAGAGGATTTTGGTCTCCTGGGCTGTCAGTCTACCAGCTTTCATCAACATTAAATTCATACATAATAAATACAAGTTTTTAGAAACATAGTTTTATCTTTGTGAGAATGACTTTATTACCCATAGGAATCAACATGAAACTGCATTAACAATGAGAAGGAAAAGTAAAGCTATCAATTAAATTCAGCGCTTTCCCTTCTGTAGTAGTGAAATTATCTGTCCATCCTGTGAAACCACAAAATGAAAACATTTGATACTTACACAAAGAACAGAAAGACTATCAACATAGTATTATACTGACCTCTTCTGGCTATACAGGGGCAAAAACATTTATATGCAAGTGGCTTGCTTCTGTCAACTGCTTAAAAATATTTATTTTCTTGGACATCAGATTGGCAAACATTCATATTCAGCAACAACACTGTTTCACATGGCAAACACTCTAGAGAATTAAGTAGTTAAGAGCATCCCTTACAGAGAGGTGTGTAAACATTAAATTGCTTCACTATTTTCTTCAAAACTTATCTTAATACTGTCGTTATGTTTATTGTCCAGACTCTTAGAGGAAACAAAAGTATTGATAGGAACTAATTACGGCCATAGATGTGGCCAATAAGACAAAATATTGTATGTGGTTTTGGTCTTCTTTCTAAATAGAAAACAGAGCAATAATAATACTTAGTTTTCTTTCTAAGTCTAATAATCAATTAAGATTTTATTTTAATTTAATTAAAATAGGTGTGAAGCTTTTTTTTTTTATTTTGTGTTAGGGTGGAAGGCTAGGGGAAAGACTGAGAAAAACCATTGTACAGCTTTTACATTCTAACACTTTTTTATGAGGAAAGTGGATTAATTCATGTTAGAGCAAAGTGGAATCTACTTCAACTCCTACCGTGTTTTCTCTTGCAATTTTGAATGCTATAATTACTGTAAAACATGTTACTGTTGATATTTAATGTTTTACAGCTATTGACAACTAACAAATATAAACAGGCCTTTGGATCATTCTTTCCTCTCTGCATCATCTTGGACTTGATTAACTGAAGCTTCAAGTTTCAAGAACACTGGAATTTTTTCAGTTGACACAAACTTCTGAATTGTTCCCACTAAATTCTGCAGAAATTCTTACTAAAACTTTCATGAGCAAAAGGCCAAGTCCATTACTGGAGCAAGAAGCTGTCTTCCAGCCACCTCTCTAAATGTATTCAAAATATAGCAAAGCAAAGATCTCCAGTAACACAATAATGGAAGCATTTAATGAGCAAAAGGCCAAGTCCATTACTTGGAGCAAAAAGCTGTCTTCCAGCCACCTCTCAAAATGTATTCAAAATATAGCAAAGCAAAGATCTCCAGTAACACAATAATGGAAGCTCTATCAACACTTACAAGGATAAGCCAAAGGAAAGGCTTATCTAGGCACAATAGTCAAAATACGTTTAGCTATCCAAATTGTGTCTGTCAAAGATATTAAGCTTTAAGATATTTTCTTTTCTCCAGATGTATTCATCTCTTCAGGAAATCTAAAAATGCCTGTGAACAAGATATGTTCCTATTGCTATCCAAAAGTCTACAATGCACAATGAACAACAGCTATCTGGAATCCAAAACTACAGTCAAAACTCAGGTTTAATATTAAAATTGAAGAAGAGATAGGGTAGGAGTAAACAAGGCAAAGGTCTCCTGACAGAACAGGAACTGCTAACTCTTCTACAGATAATTTTTCACTTACACACAACCTATGTGAAGACAAATCCAGACAGACTTTTTATCCAGTTGCTCCAAGCAGAAGCACATAGTCTTCAGAGCACAGAGTTCAGGCTTTTTTTGGATGAGTAAGTTAGTTTTCAGTTTGGGTTCTTATAGGGAAAAATTCCCCCATGTGGTATTAGGGTTATGAAAGTAATTTAAATTTCTCTCACTTTTAACTCTAGTCTATAATTAAGATATTAGAAAAGGTATTCAAAAATACTATATCTTTCATGATATTCCATAACACAGCAGAATAATGAAAGAGACTCTTCCCCAAAGTCAATGGCTCTCAGACTTCCAAAGCTACTGAGCAGCATGACAACACTGGAAATTAAAAACAGCACACACACTCACACCCTGGAAGAGCCTAATGGAAATTTTTCAAAAATATGATGAATGCAACCTTTTGGAAGACAATCAAACAAAAAAAAAAAAAAACAAAACAGTTAAAGAATGAACAACTTCAAAGCAGGTATAGTTCATGATGACATCATCCATGCACCAAACATTTTGCTTCAAAATACTGACCTATACTATAGATCACTGTACTGACCTATAACCAGGAAGAGTTATCTTATTTTCACAGAATAGATTTAGATAGCTGAAGAATTATGGAAAATTTGACCACAGAAAATGCTATCTTACCTTCCTTTTTTAACCATTTCACAATGTTTCCTTCTTCCATTGTTGGAGAAAGTGCAGGCATAAGAACTTTAATACCAGGTGTACCTGCAAAACAAGCATGTGGTTATCTCAACTGAGTACTTTTTCAGTATAATTTTTTTCTCAGTTAACTGCTTACCACAAAAGAAACTAAAGTGCATGAATCTGAAAGATACCTGAACAAAAGATTCACTATGATGCTCTTTTCTAAGCTAACATACAAGCAAGCCCGCCAAAGAGCTCGAAGGAAAAAAGGCACATTGCAAGAGAAATGGAAATTCACAAACCCTGAATTCCTAGACCTAAAGTTTTGTTGATCATCTGAAAATACATCCTCCTTTCTCCTGCCATCCTTCTCCTCCTTGACTCAGGCTGTGGAATTTTTTTTCCAGATTAAAGCACATCTTTTAAATTAATAAAGCCTTTGTGATCCTAGCATTCTAGACACCGATGATCCACCTCTTTCACTGACACTTTTTTGACATTTATTTATCCTTTTAAGTAGAAAACTATATCTACTTTACAGAAATTGCTTGATTTCAAGTTTCAGTGATTTTGTCTTGGCTCAGTGAACCCGTTTGCAGAAGCAGCACTGTGTAACAGCAACTGTGTGCCGTGTTAGTGGGGTTCTTCTGAGGGCAGAGCTCAGGATACAGCAAAGAGCTTGGCTTCACAGCAAGTTACACCTCTTGTCATCTGATCCTCTACCCCAAAGAGGACATTAATATGAGAGATACTACCTTTCTGAACTTTTAAATATACTTATGAGGCCAAAAAAAAGCATCTTTCTAGATCAATTTTGTAAAAGCAGCTTTCCAGTACCTGACTTTTGAGACTCTTTCTTCAACTACTATGTCTGAATTTGTGTTCAGTCACAGAACACAAATAGACACATAGAAGGTACAATGGCAAGGCTTATTTCTGCTTCATATTCCCTTTTCTCTAATACCCAGCATTAAGGATTGCTATCATTCTATAGGAAATAACACCACATTTCTCCCAGCTGCTGTATTGCTTGGAGTAGTCAGAAACAGGTAAAAAAGAAACTTAGAAATTAATAGTTTTTTCACATTTTTTTCCTTATCTGCTTTTCAGCTCAAAAGTCTTCTAGTTTTTTTTCCTTGCCCCTTTTTTTTCCAAAAGCTGTGCCAAGGCACATGGAGAACAAGGAGGTGATTCAGGACAGCTTCACCAATGGCAAGTCTTGCCTGACCAACCTAGTGGCTTCATAGGATAGAATGATTACACCAGTGAACAAAGAAGGGCTCTGGATGTCACCTCTCTGGACTTATGACACTGTTTTCTGTAAATTGATGAAATAAGGATTTGATGGGTGGACTGTTTCATGGGTGAGGATTGGGTTGAATCCACAGGGTAGTGGCCATCATCTCAATGCTCCCACGGACACTGGTGACAAATCTTTTAAAGGTACTGGCAGATGAAAAGCTGTGATGTGGCAGGTTGTGGCTCACAGCCCAGAAGCCAAACACAGCCTGGGACACAAAAATCAGCGTGGCCAGCAGGTCAAGGGTGATGATTCAGCCTCTCTAATCTGCTCTGGTGAGATCCCACCTGGAGAAATGCATCCAGCTCCTGAATCCTCAGCACAGGAAAGGCATGGATGTGTTGGAGGGGATCCAGAGGACAGCCACAAAAATGATGAGGGAGAGAGCTCCTCTTATAAGAAGAAACATCAAGAGAGTCAAGGTTGCTCAGTCTGGAGAAGAGTAGGTTCCAGAGAGACCTTACTGCAGTCTTTCAATAGTTACTAAAGGGACTTTTAAGAGAGATGGGGACATGTTCTTAACTGGGCCAACAGCAATAGAACACGGGGTAGTGGTTTGAAAGAGGGAGGATTTAGACTGACTGTAAGGAAGATTTTTACAATGACAGAGGTGAAACAGAGAAGCAGGCTGCCCAGAGTGGTAGTGGATGCCCCATCACTGGGAGGCTGGATGGGGACCCAAGCAACCTGGTCTATCCAAAGATGTCCCTGCTCATCGCAGAGGGGAGGGACTAGATGACCTTTAAAAGCCCCTTCCAATCCAAACCAATCTATAACGTGACATGGAAACACTGTAGCAAGCCTCTAATGACCCAAGCAGCCATCAATGATCCTGACATTTTAAAATGCACCAAGAGCAGAAAGTTACTCCCTAAAGCCCCCAAGACAGCAACACAATCAGGATCATGCTACCAAAACCACTTGAGTTTTGTGGAAATGAGCTCAATTGCATGGTTGATGTTCCCAGAAGACTGCATGAACAAATGCACATTTTTTTGTCTCAGTCTTTCCATGGTAGTTTCAGTTTAATATTACTCATGACTGTCATGTTTAGAAATGTATCCAGACAATGTTCCTTGTAACACTCACAATTCCCATCTGAATTACCTCCATGCACTTTCTTTAAAAAATTTCCTGCAACTTCTCATCTAGGACCAATAAACAGAAAAGTGAACTATGTTATGTATGTGAATGCTTATCTGTGTTCATTTCCCAAATAAAGTTTTGTAGTATTTGAAGTATGACTGACAAATTAAAGTATAAGTTAATAATTGTCTTATAGTATACATATTTACCCAAAAATAATATTTCTCAGTAACAGCAAGTAGAAAACATTATACATCATAGGATGCAAAGAAGTATTCTCAGTTTCATTAGTCTAACTTGACAAGTCTGACTTTGACAATCAAAACATTATTTTGAAGTCATATCCCACAAATATCTCGATTTATTGAGAACTAGCAGACAGCTCTCATTTAAAAAAGTGAGATAAAAATAATCCACATTTTTAATGAGGAAAAATTAATTTTTAAACACAGTGGTTCACATTTCTCTTCCATGAAGAGCTACTTGATCCATTTCCCAGAATATGCTTTGTACTTTGGCACAAATACAAAAACTGAGCAACAAATTTGTGCGCTGTAGCATTTCCCCTTCAATGACATGAACAACTACCACAAAACATACAATCCATTCTGGTCCTTGATGTCATCAAGTTAGAAGAGGAACTCCAGCAGCAAGTAGCCATGAAATGGACAAATAAATAAAGCTGGATACAAAGTAGAAGACAGGGCCTTGTGCACCCATTTAATGCTTATGTCCAGAGGGACAGTGCTCAGAGAAATTCAGTGCTGTTGAAATTAAGAGCCTTGCTCAGCATGAGACACACAGGAACACCAGCCACAATAAGACTGTTTCAAAGCCATTTTAGTTACTTTTGAGTTAATGACCTTACACAAACCAGGCTTCAACGTGCCTCCTCAAAGAAAAGCAACCTTACAATGTAGAATTACCTTCACCAAATATTATCTGCCTTCATTGAATTAAAAAGCGGATAGTGAAAGTAATCACTGCGTTTACATAAGTTAGTTGCACTGTGCAGGCAGCCCTTATAAGCACCCTGAGAAGTAAATATTGTTGCTTTGCAATTGTGGGTCAGCAAAAAGTTCTGGCAATTTTCACAGAATCTCCAAGACTAAGCTCATGGGCAAATCAGAATTTAGGACCATAAGCAAAACTTCTGGACTTCCAGTCACCACCCATTGATTTTTACTTCTATCAATAGCAACTGTGTTATTACACTTCAATTATGTGAATATAAAAGGAGGAAAACTTAAAAAGAACCCAGACAAACTTCACACAAACAAGAGATTGCTATTTTAAAGACAGCTCTCTGTGTATCCAAGAGAATTTGTTCTTGGTGACACTTTTTAACTGTGGAGCCTGGCAACATTTCTGCTGCCTTCCCTCTCTATGAAGGGATTCAACGCATATTTTAACCTGTCCCACCAGAAAGATATTTCATAACTTCCTACACACACTCTGCAGTCAGTAGAGAATTGAAAAATGTACTGCAGCTTAAGACAAATGATAAGAATACACTTTGTACACTTTAACATAAAGAGGTCATTCTATTCTTTTTCATCTTCCTCTGTGACCAACAAGCTAAGAATTCCATTCTGAATTAATTGCTTTAATTATGCAAAACAGCCTTTCCTCTACCAGCACCACAAAAGGACAGAAACACAGGAACAAACAAAAGATTCTTGTGACGTGATAAACTAGGTCCACACGAACCAATACTTCAAACACCGGCTTTTTCAGAAGCAGAAAAGCAGAGAAATAAAAGTAAAGCTAAAGTAAAATTTACTTAAATTTGCATTGTCAAACTAGGAACCAGGGGTGAGTTTGATGCCCAAATGAGCTGTATTTTACCAGAGAAGTTATGACCTCTCATCTTTAATTTTAGAGGCAACAATGAAGTTAAGAAAAATAGTACCACCAAAACACACACCACCTTGGAAAGCTGTAAGTACACTAGAAGGGTTGAATGAGGAAAGCCTGAATGAGTTAAAGGTGTGATCTATCCACCCTAATGCTTTAAAGCTTACTGTAAGGAATTAAAAGATACTAGTCATTTGCATATCCAAATTTAGAAATTTAACTCCAGCTATATATTAAGTACTCTTAACATAAAAAACATAATATATTGTCTGGGAGAACTGCAGACAGTTATTTAAGGATTTAAATAATAAGACCAATTTAGAAGTAGTTTATCATGCATTATATTTGCATTCTATTATATGTAGAAAGAAGCAAGCTTTTTCTAATAAAATCTGGAAACAAATAACATTTATTTCAAGAAAGGTACAGACTTTCCTGTATCAGACACAGCAGGTTTTACAAAGGAAAAGATTTTCATACTGCAAAGCAGGAAAGGCAACCAGGGCTGGAAAGAAGGGGATGTTGATGTCTAAACCACAACTGTCTCTGAACTGCTACTGAGTTTTATTACACAAGGTTAATTAAAGCTTACTTTTTTGTAAGTGCACTTAAACCTCAAAGAGTTCAGGTACTTCATGGTTAGCATCAAACCAGAACTCATGACAATGCACCTGATCATTGTTTAAATGTTTGACAAGTTGTAACCTACAGAGCAAGTAGGGAAAGATCACATTTCATTTCAGGACCCATAACTCTTCCCACATCTCTTAGAGACAGAGGAAAACATGGAAGGGTAAATGATCTGCCTGATAATTGTGTAACAACAAACTCTTGAAAAATACATCTTGAAAGAGTGTTGTCATAACATCACACCTTGACTTCTATGTAGGAAAGGATGCTAGACACACAATTAACTAATTTTATTTTTTCCATTAAAAAAATCAAATAGAATTACATAAAAGATACATCACATACTCTTCTCCAGTTACTTGAACATTACCAGGACAGTAAGGTGACAGAAATGTGGTGGAACTACCAAACAACCAAATAAACCTCCTTTTCCAGTGCTCAGCTATACTTCCACCGGGAAAACACATTCCTGTTTTCAATGGCGAGAACTTTTTCCTTGTCAACAACAAAATATTTTCATACTTGACGGCTTAATTTTATTTTCCTCTGTAGATTTCAGTTGTTTCCTTTCTAGACCTTGAACAATTCTCACATCTCTCCGAGTTCTCCTAGCAGCCCCTCCGTGCCTTCAGGAGCTGCAGAGACCCGGGCAAACACAGCCCGCGCAGGGCGCTCGCCCCGGGGCCCCGCTCAGCTTGTGTCCTGCTCCGATTTTCACTGCCAATAAACTCCATTAACATCCCCAAATCGAGTCTGCTCTGCCCATGGCAGTAATCGCCCACTGGTTTCTCCCTATCCTTACCTCAACACATGAACCTTCTGCTATATTTTGTCTCCCCTGCCCATGTGCGGAGGGGAGCTACAGAGGAGCTTCGCGGGTGCCGGACATCCAGCCAGGGTCAACGCACCGCAACCACCCGCTCTCAACCTTCCCTCCGCCCCACGTCCTCGCAGGGCACCAGCCCGCCACTCACCCAGCAGCTCCCAGGTGCCGTGCAGGTGCCTCCATCCCGCCCGGGCGGGCAGGGAGAGCCCCGCGCCCAGCGCCGAGCGCCCGGCCCGCAGCAGCCGCAGCAGCCGCTCTCCGCCGCCGCTCAGCCACAGGGACGCCGCCATCTTCCCCCCGCGCCGGGGCTGCCCCGCTGACTGCCTGAGAAGAAATAACCGGGCACGCCCGCAGCGCCGGGAGCGGCTCCGGCGAGCCCCCGCGCCCCGCCCGCCCCTCCGGGGCACCTGCCGTGGGATTGGCCGCCTCGATCGCCCCAGGCATGGGCAAAGGCAATAGCGCGGCCGCCCGCGCCCCGCCTGCTCTTCGTCCCGGGGCGCGCCCGCATCTCCTGTAGTCCCTGCCGGCTCCCGGCCCGGTGGGAGAGCAGCGGCCTCTCCATCCCGCCCGCCGGGGCTCGGGTCGGTGCCCACGGCCGCGGGATGCCCAGCGCTCCGCAGGCGCCCGCGCGGCCGCCCAAAGAAGCCCCCGAGCAAGGACCCCGCGCTGGCCGCGCCATGGCGGCCGCCGGCGGGGACGCGGCGCAGGTAACGGGGCCGGGGGGCGGCGGGGCCCGCCACCGCTCCGAGAGCCGCCCCATCGCGGGCCGGGGCTGCTCTTGAACCGTGCTAATTGGCCGGCAGCTTCGCAGCTGCAATTAGGAGGGAGGCTCTGGGAGTACTGGTGGATGGCAAGCTGACTGTGAGCTGGCGGCGAGCCCTGGCGGCCGGGAGGAAATTCAGGCAGCAAGATGCAGGCGGAGCCAGTGTCCGGCTTTCCAGGAGCAATGGTCATAAGCTAAAACACGAGTTCCACCTCAACAGAGGGATGAACTTCTTTACCCTGAGGCTGGCAGAGCGCTGGAATAGGCTGCTCTAGGGAGTCGGGGAGTTTCCCTCTGGAAACATTCAAAAGCCAGCTGGAGGCTTTCCTGTGTCACCTGCTCTGGGCGACCCTGCCTGGGCAGGGGACTGCACTGAATTGTCTCCAAAGGTCTCTTCCAACCCTCGCTACTCTGTGCGCCTATATAAACGTGTTATAAAATTCAGTACAGTTGCCAAAACGTTGCCAAAACTGTCGGTCTGGCAGCATATACAGGACTGGTGGCTCTTCTTGTGTTAACTGGGGTTGTTTAAGTTTGTATTGTGATTTGGTTTTCTTTTTAATTGGTCTTTGATTGGGGTTTTATGTATCATCATAACCAGAACGTGAGCTGGCAGTGCTGTGCTTCATCAGACATTGAGCATATGGAGGCATTGCCTGGGCAAGGCTCAGGACACCTCTCCAGTTTGTGTGTGACACTGGTGGAGAGACCAGCCCAAGTTTCAAACCCAGCAAGAGCTGACAGCAGGGAGATGGGAGATTGATAATGTGGCCTGTCAGGAAAATGGGAAAGAATCCAGTTCGTCATAAACAAAACAAAGCAAAAAAAGAGCAGCAGATTGAGTTGTTGTAATTCATAAAACATCGTCACAGAGGTGAGAGGGAAGACCATCTCCTGCACGTCCATCATCTTTGGTAAGAGAGAACAGATTTGTGACTCACTGTCACTGGAGGTTGCAAAGATGAGGTTGGAGTAGGAGATTCCAAACGTTGTCAAACGTGCCCCGGGCTGCCATTTCCAGTGGTTCACCTTCCCATCCCCACTGCCTCGTGCTCCTGTTCCCTGCTGCCTCCCCACCCTTAGTTCTGCAAGTCCAACACCACCTGGAAGCACTTCTTTCTAAACATCTCAGCAAAGGTATTGGCACCAAGCAGCCACCTGCCTGCTGTTTTTGCTGTGTGCTGCTTTGGCTTTGGTTCTCTCTATTCTGTTAGTGTTGACAAAATACTTCCCCTGCAGTGTGGATTCTTGCTGCTAAACAAAGTATTTTTGTTGGGAATGTTTTTCATGGGCATTAATGACCGAGGTGAGCAGTAGGGCAGCTAATCATTTGTCCTTTTAGAAAAACTTTTCAAGCTTCTAGTTCCTGCAATTAAAAAAATAAAAAAAGAATCCTACATCAAAGCAGCTTTTTTACTGTGGTAATGTAGGTAGAAACATTACCTCTGACACCAGAGATACCTTTGGTTAATATATAGATATGGATATTAAAGTAATAAACAATGGAATATGGAAAAAAATACAAGATTTTTTTTCCTTCTAAAGAAATATTTCAACAATGCAATTTGCTTTCTGACTAAACTGCATGTAAAGTAACTTTGTGTAGTAAAAATGTAGGATTGTAAAGTTCATAAAATAATTTGCATATATTTTCTGTGGTATTTTTGAGTGCTGCTTAAAATGTTTATTGACTAATAAAGTCTGTTCTACTGAAATTTGTAAATCAAGCAAAATAAACCTACAGAAAAACTGATTTAATAGGAAAACTATTAGTCAAGCTTTTAAAAATTGAAAATGTTAGATGCATTTATTTTTCCCTTTTTTTGGTGCAATAGTCCATAACATAATCCTGCTGGTGTAATATCTGTGGTCCACTGCACTCAAATAAATTTTAGGTGAGACCTTTCCTGTGAAGGATAGTCAGACTTGCACCTTATTTGGGGTTTTGTTTGTTTCAAGGTGTGATGTCCCTGGCAGAGCATAAAGGGCAATGTGTAAACATGCAGTTATTTTGTAATTGAAATTCATTACCATAAATTAGACCATTTGGCTGTAGAATGAAAGTACTAATCCTTTAAACTCAGTTTGAGAGCATGAATTCTTAAGTTTGATGTGTTTCTGATGGTTTTTCTTTTATTTATTTATTTTATTTTTAGGATGGGTTACATCCAAGGCATCTTATCCCAGAGCTTTGCAGACTCTTTTATGGTTTAGGCTGGGTAACAGGAACTGGTGGAGGAATCAGCTTGAAACATGGGTAAGTAATGATGAAAGAGAGATAATGTGGTGGGAGAGAGGCTGGCTGTGTTCAGTAGTTGGTGAGGGCATTTCAGTTCCATGAGAAATGTTTGAAAGTCAAGAATGAGCAAGAAGTTAAAGGGGGAAATGAGCAGTATTCCAAAATTAACCATATAGGAGGAGGGTGGATAGTCTGAATTAATCATTGCAGACCCTTCAATGGGGAGAGACAACTTCAGAGAGTGACCTTATCCTGTCCTTTGTTTAAGGTAGATGAATTGCCTTTAAAGAACAACGTGTTCCCCCTTTTCCCTTTGCATTTCACTGGAATTTAGAGTGGGTTACATCAGGCACACAGCTTTCAAATGCCTGTGGTTAAATAAGATCAGTCTCACCCTGAATGTATTTTACAGGCCAGATATTTTCTCTAAGCAGGAAATTACTGTTCCACTGAGGTAATTTCTAAGGAGACAAATACTTTACCTATAATTAAAGCACAACAGGTAACAACGATTTTTGGTCTGTGTCTCCTATGAAGAAGCACAGGGTTTTAATTTGCCTGTCTCCTGCCTATTCATAATCCCCAATCCTTTTAGTGGGAACAGAGCTCCTCTCAGTGGCCACTGAAAAAAAGAGAAGTCCTCATTCTGCAAAGAGCCTTGCACAGTGCCTGCAATTCTGTACCCAGTCACAAGGTTGTGACACGATCTTGAAAGGATCTGACCTCCCATTTTTCTGGTATACACTTGCATGCATGCACAGACAGCCATTGCTATTCAAAGATACATTTTTTGTGTGTGTATGTGTGTATATATATATATATATATATATGTATATATAAATAAAATATAATTCTTTACTGATAAAACCCTAAATGCTCATACTTGAGCTGTTTGGACTTTGTGCAGGTCATTTCACCTCCCTGATTGATTTTGCAAGCAAAGCCACAACAGTAATAATAATGAGATGAATGAAAAGAGGATAAATTCTGTGGGAAGATCTTTCTAGCACTGATTTGTCAGTACCTAAATGTAGCCTATTTTCTTTGTCATCCCAGTGCAGCTCCTGTTGGTTTTGGCAAGACAAATAGCATTATCAGAGAATGCACTAATATAGTTTTCCTTAGTAGTTCTATAGCTTGTTTACTTGGCATTGTTAAAAAGGAAAATGTAAAAGAACAGCTGAAATTTGATTCAAATATAACAACTGTTTTTACCAGGTAATCGTAATCAGCCATACTCACTGTGCAGTTCGTATCAACTATCAAGGAAAAAAAAAATGCCAATTTGGACTTGGCATAGCATACTGAAAATGGATGTAGAATTCTTTGTGGGGTATCTTGTATTTGAAGACTTTGTTTAATCATCAGATTAAATACAGACTTTATTTAATCATCCGATTTTCTCTTTCTGGTTAAGTTCTAAAAAATAAAAAAATCTAGTTTAAGAAAAATTGTGTGTCTGTCATAAGTAACCGAGTTTACCACTTGATTTCTTATCTTTCTCAAGCAAATGAATCAAAACTAAATTAATGCAATGCCAGAAATGTTAATTCTTGAATGTCAAAAATTACAAATATGATAAAGCCGCATTTTTCTGTGCTTCACAGACATTTTACCACTATGAATAGTACATCATCTTAAGAGTTTTATTTTTGGAAGAATTAAAATAATGCAATTGTTTAGATGTGTAAAAATCCTTAATATCATCGAGTGTCCAACCATAAACCTACCACTGCCAAGTTCTCCACTAAACCACATTCCTAAGCACCATGCCTAAATGTCTTCTAAAAACTTCCAGAGATGGTGAGCCAACTGCTTTCCTGAGCAGTCTGTCCAACACTTGGTAACCCTTTCAGTGAAGAAATTTTTCCTAATGTCCAATTTAAAACTCTCCTGATGTGAATTGAGGTAATTTCCTCTTGTGTCACTGGTTACCTGGCAGAAGAGACCAACCTCATCTTGCTACAGCCTCCTTTCAGGCAGTTGTAGAGAGCAGTGAGGTCTCCCCTGAGCCTCCTTTTCTGCTGGTTAAACAACCCCAGCTCCCTCAGCTGCTCCTCACAATACTTGTGCTCCAGAGCCTTTCCCAGCTCCAATTCTCTAGTCCAGAACTACAAAGATCCCATGGTCCATCATAGGAAATGTGTCTGTAACTTGACTAACTATTCACTAGATGTCTCTGTGCTCCTGAATTTAGTACATGACTGCTGAAGCCAAATAGTGATTGCAATTCAGAGAGAGAATATAGTTGGGGTTTTTGTGCTAATAATGAAAATAATGCAGTATCATCTTGAAATCATTTTAGTTTCAGTCAGTT